GAGCCACCATCCACTGAGGGTTAAAGACGCTTTCTGGAAACGAGCCACTCCAACTGAATTGTTGCGTCATCTTTGGCCTCTAACCCACTATATCTTCTGCACAATGGCTTTTTGAGAAACAAAACTGGAATGTCACTTGTGGCCAACAAAAGGAGGAAAAGCATAATTACACAGTCCAACAGTGATAAACCAGAGTCAGATATGTTGTTTCAATATATTGAGCTGATGGTTATACAGTGGCTTCAGAAAGTATTCAAAAATTTATTGAAAATCAAAAACTGAAATCTCTTATTTACAAAAGTATTCAGGTCCTTTACTATGGCACTCCAAATTGTGGTGAGCATCCTGTTTGTTTTTATGGTCCTCTGGATGTGTCTAGAACTTGATTGGAGTTCACCTGTGGCTAACTGCACTGATGGGACATAGTTTAGAGAGTCACACACTCCTGTATATATAAAGGTCCCATGATTCACAGTGCATGTCAGGAAAAAAATCCATAAAGCCATTACATATAATTAATGCTCTGTAGACTTCCACAATAAGATTGTGGTGAGGCATAGATCAGAGCAATGTCATAAAACAATAATGATATTGATATTGATGAGAAAAAAATTGCAATTTCATCCATTTAAAATTAAATCCACAACACAATAAAAATGTGCCAAAAATGAAGGGGTCTGAATACTTTCTGAAGCCAGTGTACTACAGCTGTCTAATTAGTTACAAGTCATTGACAAAACATCATCTCCACCTCTGAAGAATAGAGGTGACTGACTGTCAGGCCTGGATGCTCATACATACACCAGAAAGAGAATCAACATACTTGACTTTCTGGCTGCACAGGAATCATACTTGACCAATTATTCCTCTCCTCAGTGTCACTGTGACTGAGAGCACCTGGTTTCAACCGCATCCTCAGGTTTATCTGTCACAGCCATTAGGGGATTTCATCACCCATTCACACACCCAAAACCTGTTAGTGTTAGTTTAAAGGACTTTTTGGGAGAGGTTTTTCTTATCCTGCTCAAGTGTCTGAGGATAGGTGGAGCTGTATGTTGTCTAGCCTGATGAAGCTCCTTCAGGCACATTTGTGAAATGAGCTGCATATTAAAAATATAAAAAAAAACAAAAAAAAAAAAAACAGAGTGATTCGACTTGACCAAGTCAGTGCTACGTTTCTGGATGAGGACGTAAAATTAGATACATAGTCTGACAGTAAACAGGACATTTCTCTATGTGATGACCTCTTTGCTGTGGGCTTAATGTTTACAGCACATTAGCAATGTTTTTACACTTCAGTTGGAACAAATTTTTGCATACAATTATTATAACATGTTATGTATATAATATTTTAAGAATGTGTATAGTGGTAAATAAAAATGATGTGAACAATACAATAACTGGCCATAAAGAAAAATGTATTTCATCATCAGAAAGCCTTAAATTATGTTTAATCTCAGAGAGTGCTTTTCCACATCCTCCGATGCTATATATTCTAAATGTCAGTTTGACAAAAGTAGGGGCACACACCACTACATGTCAGATACAGTATGGTTATAAATTTTTTTTTAAAAAGTCAGTCAGACATTGAGTCATTTGGGTGAAACACAAGATGGAATGCAATACAGTAGCTCTGGAAAAATGCATTACTTTAGACTTTTACTTTCTGTGTAGACCATCACTTTTGTTCTTTTTCTACTGACTCAGTTGTATTTGAGGCCGTAGTTTGTTGTGCTGATGTTGTATTGGGCTGCATTATACTGGAGGTTAAATACTTTAACCATTATATTTGGTTGGATGTGAACAGATATTAGAAAGACTTGCTATCCAATACAACATCAGCACAAACTATAGCATTAAAAAACACCATATAGTTGAATCAACGCCATAAGGATCAGTTTAGTACAGGACTGCTGTAGTGGACTGGAATGTGTAGGGGGTTTTCTTTTTCTCGCTCACTCCGTCTAGGTCTTTGTATGTTAAAATGGCACCACAGCAGTCAGACAAATAAATGCCTGCTAATTTCAGTTAAGGCTGAAATGTGTCGTTGATTTTATCGATTTATCAACTGACACAAAATTAACTGGCAAACAATTCAGACAATCTCTTGATCATTTCAGTATTTTTTTAATGACCAAATCCCCAATTTCCAATTCCCTGGATCCAATTTCTCCAGTGTGAATATTAAGTGTGAAGTATAATATTTCTTCGTCTTCTGTCATAGTCAGCTGAAAATATTGGGGTTATGGACTGTTGGCTGGAAATACCATTTAACACATCATCTGGGGCTCTGAGAACTTTTCACTATTTCCTAACATTTTATAATATCATAAAATACTGGGAAATAAAACAGTCGTAAGATTAATCTATAATGTAAACAACAGCTAGTTTCATACCTCAGCACAGAAATCTTATTGTCCCATGTGGATATCATCCAATATGTGGACAAACCCTTTACGTCCCGACCAGGGTTTTGTGTGTGCCACTGTACTCAAGAGTTCACAGTGACATACACTTGAAGACATCATTTTAAAACAACAACAGCTCCATACAGACACACATGCCCCTGTTTCTGAGACATTTGCCCACATGTATCACCGGGGTACTGAGGCTCTTTGTTGGGAGGAATATGCAGCTTTAAACCGGCGCAGCTGTTGGTTTCACATGGAGCTGAGCAGACTACAGTGTATCGCTGGTACAGTAGTGGACCCGCCGTTTGTGACACAGCAATGCTGCACATACACTCACATGATACTCACCATCCGGCTGCTGAGGTATTTCTCCACTTCGGATAAACTTCGCACGGACACGTTGGCGCTGGGCATAATAATCCCGTGTGAGTGGTCAGCCAGCAGCCGCTAGTTCTTCAGTTCAACACCGGCACTAGTTTACAACTAACGCCTCGTCTCGTTTCCATGTTTCGCTCTGGTTCTCTCTCTCTCGCTCGCTCTCTCTCTTTCTCTCCCTCTCTCTCTCTCTCCTTCACACACATACACACACGCCCGAAAAACACACAACACACTGGCTGCCCTCTTCAACGTACAAAAACTATGTGTGAACCCAAACTCCGCCTATTTGTCTCTGCAGGCTGAGCGAGGAGGGGTTAACTCTTTCAACACACGTGACACACACATCAGCCTCCTCATTTGTCTATAAGGTGATCAAAAACTGTTTCTTAAGCAGTTATATTTCCACAACGGTTTAAAGTGCGATTTTATTTTTATTTATTTGCATTTTTTAATTTTTTAATTTTATTTCTATTTATCATTATTTTACTATCTTGTGATAAATGATTTTAAAATTAAAAGCGTCTGAAATCTAATTTTTGGGAGAGAGAGAATAGATGATAAAATATGCTGGAGAAACTACATACAAGTTTTATCATTCACTGTATCAAATGTAAGATCAGGCCTCATTATGAGTGGTGGGAGAAGTACTCAGGTCCTATACTTCAATGTAACAAGACTGTTACAAGTAAAAGATAGGAATCTAAAAAATATTAAAGTAAAAATACGTATGTATTATCAGAAAATTTACTTAATGCTGATGAACTGATGTGTCTGAAGAATATGTGTAGGTGTTAAAGTACTTTCTATACGCTGGGTAGTTCAATCTAGAGTAATGCATGATATATTAACTTATGGTTATTTGTTCTCCATTTCAAATAACTAATACCCAGCTGTCAAGAAATTGTAGTGAGTAAAAAGTACAACAATTTCCCCTGACCTGTGGTGGAGTAGAAATGAAGTGGCATAAAATGGAAATACCCAAGTAAAGTACAAGTACTTCAAAATTGTACTTTAAATATATAACAGTTCTTGAGTAAAGATACTTAGTTTCTTTCCAGCGCAGCCACTTATACATTACTTATTGTAATTATGTACATAAAGAACCAACAAAGACTGTAAAATATTGTATATATTATGTATGAATTCAAAGTTAAATCTTTACCTGAAATCATCCAAAAGTTATTAGCAAAATAGATGAAAACCAATATGATTTCAGAGCAGTGTGCATATTTGAAAAACAAAGTGTGACGACTAATATAAATAATTTTTAAAATAACTGTATTTCAGTTAAAGTGGTGAACATACTGTACATAACAAATGAAATGAGGACAAGAAAATGTGCAGCACACTTTGCAAATAAAAAGTGTTAGTTGTGCAAATAATAAATTGCATATCCAGACAGCCAGAATAGCATGTGGTCACTGGTACAGTAGGAAGTAGTAATACAAAAATAAATTTTTATCTGGTACTCCTCATGATAAGTAGGTGTAATAAACTGTAGCTTCAGCCTTACTCTTTTCAGTCTGTTGAAAATCTTTAAAAATCAAAGTTGCTAATGTAAAGGATTCTTTCATAAAACCAGTTCTGTCTCTTTGCTTTATAAAATCTACAGCAATTCCCCTCAAACAGTCAAACCCAAAACCCCCCAAGAGGCCATGGGAACAGTCCAACTGGCCCTTTCACTCACATTCATTCAGCTTGGAATGAGCTAATCCACCTAGCCACGAACACAAAAGCCCATGTTGCATCACAAATCCCTTAACCTTTACAGATACAGACAATCAGTGTTTGTTTTTGCAATTGCGAATTGTTTGGGCGGTTTGTAAAGAGATGACAAGCATATCCTCTTTTGTTTGCACAGAACATACAGTGAGTGCACTATACATAGACATGCATTAACCTCTGTGGTTCAAAGAGGTCAAATCAAGCGATGTGGTGACATGATAGGGCCGTGACAATGGACTTCTAAAAACAGCAGCAGACAATATCATTCATCTAGTCATCAAGTTTTAATGCTGCTATCAGTGCCTTTAATTAGCTGGACACATTCACTGGGTAACTACAGCAAAAGAAAGCTTACACAGGAACTGTCCTCTGTTCACCCATATCCGCTGAGCCCTAATGAAAAATTGATTGGCTAATAACACTCACTGAAAGTCTAGTCCCACCTTCACGTCATTTGACACAAAAAACAGCAAAAAGTCAGTGGGGTAGGATGTAGATTTTGCATTATTAATTCAAAGGGAACATGTAAACAATCTGCTGTGTTTATGGAAGCAGGGGCAAACTCCAAGAAGTGTGATTACTGAGTTTTCTTCATAATTAAAATAAAACTCAGAGCCTCATTAAGTCTGTAAAATAGACTGATATAAGTACAAAAGAAATGCTCCAGGTTTCACTCTGCAAAGTTATCCAGATCATTTAGTCAACCTGCTTCTGGGAAGAGCTCCAATGTGGGTTAATAAACTCCTCCACACTCAAGTTGTGGATTAACTGCACTTGATGATGTAGAAGGCAACATGTTTACAAGACTGCAGTGTTCATCCCACAATCAAACCGATGTGGTTTGGTCAGTTTCAGTGGGACCAGTCAACAAACACTACAGAATCACTACTCACTCTTCAGGAGATCTGAACGACAAAGGTCAAAAGTTGATTAGTTTGGTGCAGTTTTTAAACTAAAGAATGTTTATCCCTATTACTACTGTGAAGGCTCCATTTGTCAGTCTGAACTGATAACATGGCTCAGAATTTATACAGACTATTTTCTTTTGTAATTTTTCATTGTTATTGTATTTTAAGGGTTTTTTGTAGCAATGACACACATAACCCTCCCCGGTGCTTTTTAATTAAAAGTTCTAGCTAAATATACTCAGAACAAAAACAGGCAGAGCTACAGATAATACTTGCTCTCTTCATCCACACAAAAAGCCTATTATAATGCAGACTGTTGACTTCCCAATTTTTCCTAACATGACTGAGCATGGGTCCAACCCATCATATTTTAGGCTGCCTGCTTTGTAGCCCACAGCTGCTGTTCAAAATCCTAACACAAAAACAGAAAGAAAACCTTGTCGGCTCCTTAACCTGAGTCTCATCAGCACTACATAAAAATTACATTCAATGCTGGCAATCAGCTCCACCAATTCAAACTGATACTGTCAATCAAAATGAAAGCTCAACTGTGTAAATAACAGGGAACATGATTGAAAGATGTTTTTATTGTCAAATGTCTTGACAATCATTTTCTGTCCACATTAATTTGTCCAAAAGATTGAATCTATGAATTACCAAGTGCTGCCCATTCTTGGTGCATTCTATATACAAATATACACAATGACTTCAGATCCACATGATGTCAAATAGTTGACATGTGATGCTGCCCTATCCTTTGGATTGGCAAGAAAATAAGAAATAAAGGTTATAACCTTTAGCAATAACAACATCTCACAAACCAATTCACATTATGACAAGTTTTTTCCTCATAATCAATAGAAAATAAAAAAGCATGGCAATGTATAGGAAAGCAGTGAAAAACAAACCAGATTCCTTCAAAGTACAAACAAGATCTGCAGAAAAGGAAAGGCTTGAAGGCAATGAAGCATAAAATACTATGTACAATAAAAAGCACAATCTACTATGCAGGTTTCAAGGGTTCATTCCTCAATGGGCAGTTATTGTAGGGCTTGCTTGCCACTGGAGTTGATTTAATGTGTCTCTTTGTGAATTGTGCTCTACTGACTAGTTACTGAGGAGTCAGAAGTAGGAGCAAGGTAAGAGTGAAAACAAAATTCATACAGGATGCTGTCATAAATACAGTATGTTATGACCACTCAGTGACCAGTCTGCAAAGCACTCTGATTGGCTGGCTGTTGAGTTTTCACAGTCCAATGTTGCTACTACAGGTAGCAGTGTGTCAGACACCAGAGACCGCCTGGCTGTTATAATCAGTGGACTCCATTTTGAGAATGTAAGGGATGATGCTGTCAATCTGCACGTTCCCAATGAGCCCAGCGAAAAACAGCTCCTCTGTGACAGCTGCACTTATCAGCCTGAGGGCGGGAAGACGCAGCAACAGCTTGGATAACCTGGGAGTAATGAGGGGGAAAGGAGACATAAAATTTAAACATATGGAGCGAGTACATCAAAGGTACCATCCCAAATCTTTCCTTCTAAATATAGAGTAATTCTGCATTACTACATCATTGCCTTTCCAGCAATGAGCTGGCATTATGTAGCATAGAAGTAAACACGACTAACCGATAGGAGTCTTCTGGGTAGGTCCTGGTAACATAGTCCTGCAGCTCCATGTAAGCCTTCTCCTGGAACCTCTCGATCTGTGGGGTGTTATCTATGCCTGGGTGATCTGGTACAGAAACAACACATGCACAAAGCCAGACATTAGATATAGGGATTGTTCCCAATACAAAAACAACTTGAAAATGCAATTTTCATTTTGTAAACTGGCTAGTTATGTACGCACCAGGACTAAAGAGAACGATGGCTTTGAGGTAGGCATATTCATAGGAGTCTGGGGTCAGCTTGGACATGCTGTTACAGAACTCCTGCATCCTCCAGATGTGCTCCATTACTAGTTTTACTCGCTCTGGGGACAGCTTGTCTGTTGGACACATTAAAAAAAAAAAAGACAAGTTTAGAGGAGACATGGATGTAAAGGGCCAAGCATCAGTGTAGTTTTTAGCAGATTCAACACAAACTGTGCCAAAAAAAAAGAAAAAAAAAAAAGAAATGGACAGATTTAAAATCTCATTACTAGAATATGTTTCATGTCTGCAAATGTTGGTTGCTTTCTTCATAGCATTGCATAAACACTGTGCTTTTGAAATTGGATTCAAGAAAAAAACCTTGCAGGCAGGCAACAACAGAGCCCTCCTACCTTCCTGTAAGCTGGTCTGCAGATGGTTGATAATAGCACTTAAGATGGTACCAACATTCATAACATTGGAACACTGTGCCAGACCCAGGGCAAACAGTTCATTCCAACAGGCTTTCATCAAGTTAATGTCATTATCTTGACCACTGCAAAATAAAAAAAATGAATAATTTGAAACTTTCATTTTATAACTGACATGTAATGACAATTATTTAAAAGTATGTATTTATGAAACATCTTGACACAAAGGCTTACCCAAGGGTTTGAAAGGCAGGTATGGAGCGTGCCCAGTGCATAGAGAGAAAAAGTAAGCGGGAAGCTGACTCACAGATGTAGTTGACATTGAGGTACTCTGGCACAGGCAAAGGCATCATAAGCTGCAGGAGAGGGAGCAGACATGACTTCAGTGTAAATCAGAAAACTGTGTACCTCTGTAAAAATCAGCATCGCTTTTTGGTCTCATTTGGCTTTCATCCAGAGTGTGCTTTTACCTTGAAAGGGATATGGCTGTCAGAGAGTAGAGGTCCCTCCAACTCCACCACAGGACCTGACTGGTCTCCTGACATCAGCTGCATTGTGGCCTCCAAGGAGTCCGCTGCTGAACCATCACCAGGGTGCAGCACTTTCGCCAGGGTGTCAAAGGCGCTAACGATATACAAAAAATGAAAACAAAATGCTCACAATAAAAGATCCACATTTTGATTTATACAGTTTGTATATTGTAGCTCAGAAAGAAACATAGTCCAAGATGGGATATTTTTGATTGACTACGACTCAATCTAATTAAGTCCTTAAAAGCAGAGTCAGAAACCACATGGCCCTACAGGAAATTCAATTAAAGCTTTGTGACAAACAGAAAAAAAAACAGCAAACAGCCCCTGGGTTTCTCTCTAGTGCTCCTGCAGATCTCCACTCGCTGTATCAACTTACTCAGAAACCTCTGCTCAGTATCAAAGTCTCTTGATTCATTATGACATCTCCCTCACCGAGTGATATCACTTGCAGTTTGCTCATCTCCTTGGATGTCTGTCATCGAGCTGTCGCCATTGCTAAGCGTTTCAACTCCCATCAGATCATTGCCGCCGTCACTTGCCTCCCTGGTCTTGTTGAGGTGGGCGAGGGAAGTCACTACGTTTGCCAGTGTACCAAGGTCACCTTGAGAATGGTCATCCTGTTGAGGAGGGCAATGTAATAATCAAATATGCTTTAAAAATACAAAGTGTGTATTTGTTTGCACTGCTCTGCTGCATCTTAGCAAAATGACCTTATTCATTACTTTCCTGCTTCCAGAAACAACAGGGACAAAACTCACAGATATCATCACACATTCACAATTAATGAACAAGCAATTATTGAATTATTAATTGTAAGGTGGCTTTCATATTTAAGGATAAAATAACACAAGACTCTAATTATATGTAGTATAATTTGACTGCAGAAGTGTTACCTTGTCAGGGGATGCTGGGATCAAGATGGTGTTTTCCAGTTTGGAGAAGGGTTGTTGGATGTTGAGCAACATGCTCGACTCGAGCAAACTTGTAGACCTGTAGTGAGAGATTTGACATCTCATATAACATTGTATTACACAATCCCCATTTTTCCATGATATCATTTTAATATTGTATTTAATGTTTTGGTATAAGCATCCTTCCACTAGACAGCAATTCAAAGTTTTATTTGTCACATGCCAAGGTACAAGGCAGTGAAATGATGGTCAGACTTGGCAGCAGGACAGACAAAAAAAAAAAGAAAAAGATATTATGAAAAAAAAAATCAAATATGTCTGGAAATATTGCAATATTGTTGCATATTTACCCCAACCTATACAGAGGGTTTTTCCAGGACCAGGTTTTGCCATGATATGACGCACGCACGCACGCACGCACGCACTTACAAGGCAATACCGCCATGCTTGAATATCTGCAACAGTGTTGGGTAAGAACTTCCCAAACCATGTTTCTGTTTCATTGTAGAAAGACCACAAGTGTCTTTGGCTGCTGAATAAGTCAAAAATTACATTTAGGAATTAAGATTCCAAGATTCCTCCATGCTTTTACTTCACAGTTCACTGAGACATTACACTATGCAAATTGTTGGTGTTCTAAAAGTTTTGCACATTGGTAGTTTATATATTATATAGAAACACGTCGTATAATAATTATCACAATATGTATAAAACAATTGGGCTCCTTGTTTCATGTACTGATGAAAGTCATCACTCAAACTCTTACCCGTTTATTAGTTACACATGTACCATCTAATTCAATTCAATCCAATCCAATGCCCTGCAGAAAATCTCATCTCTCTTAAACCTATAACGGTCAGATAATGACACTGCACCAGGAAGGTGCTGATTCAGCTCTATGGTAATTTTGAGGCTATACTTACTGCTGATTGCATTTGACTGCATCATATTAAGAGGCATTTCTAATTTCCTTTCTCCATCATGCTTGTAAATGGGGAAGATAAAACACAAGAGACAACTTTCAATATGATACAGTCCAACACAATGTAACAGTTATTAGAAATGTAACACAGATATTATTTACAGCAGAGCCACTTATTATATTGTATTAGACTGTGCAGGGGAATCTGATAATCTGGGAGATTAGTGGATTATATTTAGTGGTATGTACCTAGCGGTTTCCTTGTCAGATACAAAAGTGGGTGTGGCAGCCAGAGGGCTACACAGGTTCTTGCGGATGTAGATCTTCTCAGTGGAGGCAGCACAGTTGACAGATTTCTCTCTTGTGGTCACTTCCACAGGCTTCCTCTCACACTGCACAGCTGAAACACAAAGACATCAGACCTTATTCACAAGTCCTAAATAACATATCCTCAACTGTATATATTGAATATTACAGTCTCTTACAATCTTGTTTCATGCCCAGAGCTATGCAGCGCTGCAGTCGACAGTACTGGCATCGGTTTCGGTGAAGCTTGTTGATGGCACACTCTCCGGAGCCCCTGCATGTGTACACCAGGTTCTTCCTAATGCTGCGTTTGAAGAAGCCCTTGCAGCCTTCACAGCTGACAGCTCCGTAATGACGCCCTGAGAGAGGAAAGAGAAAACAAGGTCATGTTGGTAAATGCTTGCTTATTTGTTACTGAAAAACATTAATGTTTAAGCAAATTGAAATTTCCTACCTGAGGCTTTATCCCCACAGACAACGCAGTACTCCACAACTGGCTTCACAATAGACTGGTCTGAGCCTTCAGTCACAAACTGAAAAATAACCCGAGACAATAGAATAATTAAATACAGCAAACATGGGATTAAGTTTAGACTGACTAAACATGTCCATGCTTTATAAAGACCTTTATAAGACCTTTCAGTAACTTGTTTATCAAAATTGACTGGAAGAAGTCACTAATATCCTCTGGCAATACCTGAATCTGCTGCCCAGCAAGTTCAGGGGAGGCAAATAACAGCTGGTTAACTCCAGAGCCGTCTGGAGTGGCAAGGATGACCTTGTTGGGTGAGCCCTCCTGCTTGGCCAGGATCACCTTCCCACCAGGGGAATAGTCAGCATTTGCTAGAATAAACTGCTGCTTTCCAGGGGAAGATGGCTCAAGTGCTGTGACAATCTGGATCTTCTGGCCAGTCTGCTGATCCGTTACAATCTGTTAAAAATTAAAGAATAAATAAATAAATAAATAAATAAAAAAGTGAGGGAGTGCTGACTGTAGAGTGGCTGGTGTAAGCAAATTTATGTGATAATTGTGCATATGTCTTCATCCAAACACAATTAAAGCAGTATAAGTCTCGAGCGGTGCACAGGCTGTCACATCACCTGGATTCTGTGTCCTAAAGCCATGTTGTTGTCTGCTGACACAAGCTGAATCCTTTGAGTCTGTCCATCCATTCTGATACTGCACACACCTTCTTCCACTGCTCTTTACATCAGTGCCCCATGAAGCATGCACACCTATTGAAAGAGCATATGTTTTACTTTATGTCTTACTTTCGCAAAGCTTGGTTCAGGCCATGGAATACCTACAAGGATATGGAAGGGGTTATTTTCCAATTTCCTTCTGTCAACAATGCAATGTGTACTAAAAGGCTCAAATGTATAGTTGTGTTTTTTAAAGGCTGAGTACTTCCCTAAAACAGCTAAGCACTGTAGTTGTTGTGCTCTTATTGGGGACAGTTTTTAGCAGATTTGTAATCGTTAGGGGGACTTGTAAGTATGTACAGAAGCCAGGTTGTATATGTGGGATAGACTCACAATAAACTACAGTGCTAAACTACAGTGTACAGAGCAAAAAAAAAAAGTTATCATGGGAATTTGTTGACAATAAAACAATACAGACTATCACCAGTCTCATCCTTTAATTGATGCTTGAGTTATGTGTTGAATTTAGATCCCATAGAACATTTCATAACATTTTTACCTTAAGTGTAAATGTCGTTTACATGTGGTGATGTGTGTGGAGGAACTTGGAGCTCTTGCTCATACTGTTTCCAATTAGATCCACTGTATAACACTTCAGAGCCGTTATTAAAATTACCACTAAGTCAGAGTGGGTCTTACAAACACTTAACTAATGTTGCAGCTATTCTTATTATCCCTCGTGTTTACTCATTTACCTCTCCCTTTTACTGGAAGATGTTTTTGCCCAAAACTGTAATCGATATTTCTAAACGATGTTGACGAAGTTTAAAAAAGCTCGAAATTATCTGTAATTAACCAACAGATAAAGTGCAGACAGCTGATTAATTATATTGCGTGTATCTAACTAATATTAGTTTGTGGCCTATGCTAGCCAATCTAGCCGGTGCTAGCTCGAAACTGCACTATTGGTGGCCCTGTTTTAAAATACACCCAAATATCACAGTGAAGCGACTACAAATGAGCGGTAAAGCTGGAGCAGTAACACAAACAAGCTCTTGACAGTCAGCTATTTAAAATCGATACGGAAGATAAAGGTATTTCTTTTCCTGTGGGTGAAAGGTCAACATTGAAGGGTTAAAGCATGCTAGGGTTCAAGGCCCATGATGCAGAACCGCAGAGTCAACGGTGGAACTTCGGTTTTGACAACTGGGCAAAATTCGCAATACTTTCGCACTGGATTTCCACATCCGTCGGCAATTCAGCAAAATAGTTGACGATTTAACACCACGACGCACCGCTGTCGCATTCAAACTTAAATGAGTGATGTGGTTGTTAAGTTTGCGGAGACTGGTTAGCAACGCTAGCACAGCAGCTAACATCAGCTAGCATATACGCCGTTAGCTCTCGCGGCTAAGCTTGTCGGCTTACTAGCATGTCCGTTATCTGTGTTCCTGTTGCCGAATTCCCTCTAACAGCTACGCGTAAACATTGCTAGAAAGGACAGCTATCTAGTCGCACACAAATACCAACATCATCACATACTTGCCAAAGGTAGCTTTTATGCGCTGGGATTCGGACGACAACACTAACGAGCTAGTTTAGCTTCTGCTAGCCTGTAGCTAATGGCAGCTTCCCCGTTGTAGACGTACTGAACACTCCCTCCCCTCCTGTGTTACCGGCCACTCGTGTCTCTTTGATGAACCCCTCATGCGTTCCCTTTAGTACATATTTCTTACCTGTCGAGGAGCTGCTACGTCAGATAGTGTATTACTTTCAATAATTTAATATTTTAACTATTTTGCTGCAGTTGGTGGGAGGGTCAGAGTTCGTGACCTTTTCTCATCAATAAACGACGTTTGCACATGCGCACTTAGGTAGCCGCAGCTCTCAGCCTCCGTTGTTTTGTGATGGTGTGAACCATCATATAAACTTGTTCAAATGTAATTATCTTCTTATTTGGCTTCAGTTTTATAGGAGTACTGACATATGTCACAAGCACATCACACAGTAGATAATGAGATTTTTTAGTAACACAATATACCGAACGCACCTCAACAGTTCAGTATGAGGTCCACCTGCAGCCACATCGGCAGTTAGTCAAAGCAACATCACCATGCTGCTACAGTGTTGTACTCGTGTAGAGGTACTGGTACCGCAGTAGTTCACTTAGTAGTAATTTAAAATCACTCAGAATAATCGTTGGTTTTAGTAGGTTGCAGACAACGTCACTGGATGGATGTGATATTATGGTACCACTCTCTGATTAGGCACAATTTACAAAGGGTTTATGAGCTGTAGTTAATGGTTTTCTCAATGATTCATAAGTGATTAGCTTATGTTTTATAGATCAGTTATGAGCCATTATTACAACAACATAACCTAGCATCTTCTGGGTTCATAAAGGAGACCCTCCAATGGACTGTTTTGGTGACTTATCTAATGGAAAAGGCCTGCAGAGCATCTGGACCAAAATCTGTTTATTAACTTATCCATAAAGTCTGACGAGCTGTTGATGTACGATTACAGCTTAGAATAGTGCAAATGATGAGAGAACAATGTCAATTTGAAATGTTAAGAGCTATATTACATTTTGAAGTGAAGAAGTTCCCATTCTGTTGTTTGAATAAAGACTCTTGCATCAGTGTGCCCTGTTTAAATCTATTGTTTGTTAATAACACATCTGTATGTTTCTATTCAGTATTAATGGAGTTATTAACATTGGTAAACCTACTTAGGGGTTCACCCTTTTCATCAGGTTTGCAGATATAAATATTACTTCTATTGAACCATTAGCAAAAGTGAGTCTTTCATCTGCAGTTATTTAAATAATGGGTACGATTCTGCAGCTGTAAATGTTAATATGCAATTTATAAATGGATTTTGGTCCAGATGTCCTCCAGCCCTTATCCAGAAGATAAGTGATCAAACAGTCTGTTGGAGAGGTCTCCCTAATGAATACAAAGTTAAAAAGATGAGCAAAGTGCTGAAAGGGGTTTCAATTTGTTTCAATTAATTCCTTATAGCTGATCTATAAAGCATAAATAAGTAGGTAAATAGGTAAATAGTGTACTAACATTAATAAATCCATTAAGTACAGCCTACTAACCCTTTAGAAATGGTGGCTTATCAGAGTGGTTCCACTATTATGAATTCAAAGTACAGTATTTCAGTAATACTTAAAAAATACTTAAGCACACAAAAGTTCACGAAAAGCTATTCAGTTACAGCAACACCCATATTCATGTAATTTGTTATTCCCCCATTTGCTGACTATTAAAACACCCTGCTCTTCCACTATTTTAATGTGCAGTCAAATTGTTTGTTCCCATTTGTACAACTGACCATGACAAGAGCACAGTAAAACAAAACATTTATTACAGTGACAGAATTAAAGCAGTAAAAATGAGATTCATGGACATTTAATAACATTTCATTTACAATTATCTATATTTACAAATGATGTGTGTAGGGATGAAATCTATGTACAGCCATTTGAGTGACTCAAGTGCAAAACACATTATGGTACAATTATGTCAAAGTACACTTACTGTATGTCCAAACAGTGAATATTCCCCTGATACACCATTAAGACTTAAGGTGAGACTCAAAGTTACAGAAAGGCTTACTAATGTAAGGTGAAGTTTTCTTCTACAAGCATGAAGAGTGCACATTGTGTGTTCTGAAGCCAAGTAATTATTCCCAAACAACAGAAAACATCAACATGATTTGTTTTGACTATTATTGGGTACATGTGGATTAAAATTATCTTTATTACAAATCTATAGACAACGTTTTTTTACTGACAAATCTGTGGTATGGAGATCCAAGCAGGTTACTAAACAAATAAATTAAGATGTAGCAACAAAATCAAAGCGTAAAAGTCTAAAAAAGCTACAGATGATTGTGGAATCATTCTTAAGCTGTGGCCAAAACTACATAAAACCTGGTGGAAAAGATTCATGTTAACATACAAAAATGAAAATGGATCATTCCTACCTTCACAGGAGTGCTCTAAAAACAATGTAAACTCAGGTAAATCTGATGAAAGCAGTACATTACTTTGTATGTATGTAATTTCACGTGGCGCCTCTGGATACTTTTTGCAGTATTCAGAGAGCACTGAGGTAAAACATTTTCAGGCAAGGGTGAGAAAGTCTGTTGAATAACTTCACACGTGGTCTGAAGGCATTAAAGCACAGTGGCTTCTTTGAATGAGTTGATCCATCTATATATATATATAAAAAGAAAAGATAATTAGTATTATTGTTGCTGTCATCATGTGCAATAATGGGTAGCATCCCTCTTTATACTGTACCTCTGGGCTGTTTGTTCATCTTCAGCTTTAAAAATGTAGTAAAGTGTGTTTTTGTGATAGAGCTTAAACTGTAACGTCTCAGATGAATCTTCTTTCAACATGAATCCCAACAGGGGCTGACTCTCTAAGGCTGCAACATCCTGCATGAAGACACAATAAAGGACAGATGGACATGAAATCACTTCCTCTTGGTCCAATTACAACATAACGATGGGCTTTCATTGAGACAAGTGGGAGACCATACCTCACTTGCAGCATACGTGTACAAGACTTTGTCTTTGATGACGAACCACAGCCTCTTCCCCTGCTTCTTATTGCCCTTGAACCTCTGCAGATACCCACTGATGGTTGAGTTGTCTGTGTTTGCTGTCACCTGCAACAAGTAAAAGCCATCTGATTAGATTTCTGGTCGTTATAAACAACAATGCACCCCGATCAGGACAAAGCATCAGCTACCTCTTTGAGTGCCGCAGGTATCTTCTTCTGCTTCCTGGAGAAAGCGAAGGCAGCTCTGTTTCCAGGGGATACAGCTGATGATAGAGACCTTTCATCTGATGCATAGAAATGTGCAACAGACAGTGGTTTAACACACAGAAGATACAGAGAAAAGAGGGTATGCCTGTGTCTAATTCAAGGTGTTGTTTTAACCTTTAACAGCATAAAAATGTGAGGAAAACAGTATGTTGTCACTGGAGACAACGTTAGAAGGAAGCTGCTCTTACTTGTCTGCTCATGAAGAACACAGAAACACTGGTCACACACTCGTGCTAATTGGTTCTTTAGGTATTCAAGACGGTATTTGTTGGAGGAACAGGACTGGCACACCACCTGATGAGAAGATAAAGGACAAGATACAAACTTTTTCTGTTTTGTAATGTGATCTGCTTTCCTGTTTTTAAAAGAATAATTTGACATTTTGAGAAATACACTCATTTGCTTTCTTGCCAAGAGTTAGATGAGAAGATAGAAAGATAATAGATGATATCAATATATGTCTGTACAGTAATTATGAAACTATCACCAGCAGCAGGTTAGTGTAAACACGACAATTTGCCCTTTCATGTGGGAGTACGTGTTGCCAGCGGATGCTAAAGTCATTTAGTTTTTGTACAGATGAAACAAGCAAGATATAATGTGTTAATTAGTGAGCCACACTGTCACCTTACCTTTCCACATGCACGGCAGTGGTGTCTCCTCCACGTTAGGGAGAATTCACAGGTGCAGATCATACACATGGTGGTCCGCGGGTCAGGGATCCATATTGGGGCTTTGGATCCCAAAGGTGCACCATCACCACTATCGCTCAGTTCCACCTGAATATAATAATAAAGACCAAAACACAGGAGTTATCACTCACTGCTCATACATACACTGTAAAATAGACATTTTAGTTTTGATCGCCCTAACATCGGCTTACACTGTGCAAACAGGGAATGTATGAGGTGTATTTTTGAGGCTGTCTTACCTCTTCTAGAGGTTTTCCTGATATAAAACTGATCTTCCTCTTGGTATAGTCACTGATCGCTGTGGAGATGGCCTCAAGCCATTCATCTCGCTCCGTGGCTGAACTGCAGGAGGAGAAAACAAAGTGTAACTACCTACACAGTGTTCACTGACCTATGCACTGCGAGGAGAAACACAGGATGACTATTATGTAATGGATTATGAAAGAGATATCTTTTGTTTCTGAGCCTTACCTTGCAGAGAGAATGAAGGAGCGCTCCACGCTCTCAATGTTCAGCTCATTCTGATAGGCCTCTTGGCTTGGTTTGCTAACCTGTAATCATTTTCACTGTGAGCAGTGATGCCAGCGTCTATCTTATCTTGTGATAATGTATGTGTGAGAAGATGAGAAGTGCAAGGAAATGAGAAGAGAAGTCCTCACCCTCATCCCAGCCAGACACAGCATGTTGTTGAGCTTGTACTGGCCTGACTGAACAGGAGTGGTGTACAGCAGAGTGTCATTGAACTAAAGGAGGAATGACATAGAGGCATCATTAATTCATTCAATCAATCATTGGTACTTTTCTCCGTGGGTAGCATTCTCTGTATAATCAAAGGCTTGATCACCTTTGAGCCCTGACCTCAGCACAGTAAAGAGTCTATAAGTCTAACACCTCACAGCAGCATAAAAACACAAGGATGTATTGACCATATAATGCCCTGAAAAGAAACACTTCAATAAAAAGGAAGCCAGACTGAGCATCTCTTGGAACCCGCATCTGATCACAATGATCCTTTGCAGAAGCATTTGGGGCAAAGTGAAGTTGGGGGAGTGTGAGAGAAGAAGGAGACAGATGTGTACTATACCAGGAAGAACTTTCGGGGCTGCATGACCTTCCTGGCTAGCTTCATCAGGAAACCCTCCTTCAGGAAGATCTGAAGCACAAAACATTAAGTCATGCTTGCTGTTTCACATGTTTAATTCAATGAGACAGATGGTCTGAATGTTAAGGAACTTCATGATGCTCTATATTATACGGCAAGTCCTACAGGCAATAAAGGATTTGGTTGATAAATGTTTACAGCTAACAGTGTTGTGTTTTCCTCTTCATCAGAATAATCATTACTCCAGTTCATTTTGCACCTTCAGAACTTTGAGGTGACATTGTTTTGTCAGCTGTTATATTCAAGGTGTTCAAATGTGAACTCTGAAACTATTCCACCAACACGGACAAGACAGAAGAAGGAAATTTAAACATCTGCTGTTCCATTACAAGTGGGGAAAATCCATTTGTGTGTGTGATGGGATTGAAAGCTCCTGAACGGCTACTGAATGGATCTGAAAGTGAGTTTGGGTTACCTAAGCATTTATAGGGAAAAGGGCTTTGGTAGTTAATTGAAATTAAGAGAAGTTAATATTCTAATTTACATACATTTCCTGATGGTTTACATTCAAAAGTTCAACACACACACACAAAAAAACACAACTCCAAATAACATCTATAAGGTCTCACCCGCCCTGGCTGGACTATCTCATGGTGGCCATTCAGACTGCACTGCACCTGGATCAGCTTCTGGAAATTATCCTGAGAATTTTTTTTAAAAGTGGAGATCAGAAACCTGTGTGGAGCATTTTATCAACTTGTTAAGAAAATGTTCTGATTGTCTCTCACCCCTTGTTTCATGATGTCGTTGGCATGATTGGCCACCTCTTTTACAAGAGCAAGGGCAGCTGCGTAAAAAAAAAAAAAAAAAAAAATCACATACATGACAGGTAATGTTTCAATTCCACTGACAACGTCACATAGGTTTAAAGTATGCAGATGTAAAAGGTCCTTGGTTTACCTTGTGTGTCCTTGTAATCATCTGAGTCCTCAGATAGGTTTTTTAGATAGTCTAAAACAAAATTACAAATATTTCAAGGTCGGGTCAACAATGCAACCAAACAAGTGAAAAGTACTTTGTACATTTGGTCACAAGTGCTCAGTGTTGTGTAGTAAATTCCTGGAATGTAATCTGAAATTAAAGTCCTGGATAAAAAGGTCTGCAGGTGCTTACATAATGCAATTATACAAGAGTGACGTGAGGAACATTCTTCACATTTTGGCACAGAGCGCTCGACCCTGATGCATTAGACTCATGACACCGTAAGCCCACTCATGTTAAAGCTTGTGTTATGTCACTAAATCTGATTTGGACTGCACTTCAAAAATCTTATTATCCGAGGATTGAAGAGGCAAGACAGAACTATTGACTAGTTTTGTTTTTCTGTACACCAGGGGGCAGCATGTTGCCTGTAATGAGACACCACAGGCTGGTCAAACATGCAATGTTTAGGAACCCATAACTCCAAGGATGAAGTGATTTGCATTTTTATTCTTCTTTTTATTTTTTAGAAAAAGCTTGACTTTGAGTTTAGAATGATGTGTCAAGAAATAAAATGGATCAATTTAACGCTAGATCAGAAGTACCTGTGAACAACAGCTGATACTGAGGAATCCTCTGAACAGGCTTCAGCAGGTAATGCTTCAGAGCCAAGTTGGCACAGCGTGGACCGGTCTTGGACAAAGAATAATACACTTCACAAAAGGCACTATTTTCAGGAACAAACACACATACACCATTCTCTGCACATGCATAAACAATGAAGCGTCACTGACCCAAAAAACAACCCCCCCCCCAAGACAGAGAGAACAGGTTGAGCAAGCATTGTTACCTCAAATTCCCGTACTACAGCTCCGAATGCTGGGTTTCTCTTACTCTGCTCTTCCAGTAGAGCCACATTCTTGTCATACTCGCGGATGTAAGTGGAGTACATCTTCAGATAAGGCCCTTTCTTCAGGAAAATGTCTGCTAGCTGTGCATTCTCATCCCTGTGCAGAGAATAAAGTAGTATGAGATAAACTGAACAATTATCATAATTTTAACTAATATTATTATTATTTAGGTGTAACATTTAAATTGATTATTAATGTTCCCTTGTCCTGGAGTTCCTACCTGCCATTGTTTTGCAGAGACAGTGGTGAGTCTCACAGTAACCAGTGAGACAAGTGTAGATTTGGGAATGACTGGAGAATGCTACTCATGAAGAAAATATGTTTACAGACTGATGGCAGCAGTGAGATTGACTAGCATTCTCCAGTCAATCCAGGCTGTGGGTGATAAGTAGGCCACAGTTTCTCTCTGTGTAAAACTTCCTTAATCAACACAACAAATCAACCAGCAAAGCAACACAATAAAACACTCAACTTCTCTCTCTCCCTCTGGGTTCATATCATGCTCTGATCATTGTGTATTGTGCAGATTAGTTACACAACATGAACAAATAAGCATCAAAATGTAATGTGAACAATATTTAGGCTAAGTATGTATCATATGTAAACCAGATATTTCAGGAATATGGTTTTCAAAGCATGCTGGCACCCAAAACGTTACACCAATATGTAATCGTTACACCAATATGTAATCGTTAAGCATTTCAATCCAAAACCGTGGACAAAAGTATGTTGCTATGACAGTCTGCACCCTACTAGGAAGGATTTTATAACCTGGCTGAAGGGATTTACTCATTCAGCCACAAGAGTGAGTGCCTAGTGAGGTCAGGCACTGATATTGAGTGATAAGGCCTGGCAGCTGTTAGCCCACTTCATCTCACAGGTGTTGAGGTTGAGGCTCTGCCAAGTTATTCCTCACCAAACTAGGACAACAGTTTTTTTTTATAGAGCTTGCTTTGTGCACCGAGACTCATGTTGAAACTGTTGCCACAAAGTTGAGAGCATATTATTGTCTAAAAGGTTATATTTTATGCAATTGTAGCATTAAAGACCTTGAAGACCTTGCTGTAGGTGGAACATTTTTTAACAATGATTATCATAATAATACTAATAATAATAATAATAATAATGTTTCACTTTTATATTCAGTTTATATTCAGTTTTTTTCCTCTGTGCTCTTCTCACTAGTTTGAGGTGGATGAAGCTCAGTTGGAAAAATGCAATGTCATGTACTTCTGTGCACCAATCAGGATTTATGCAGTGCTCACATCTTAAGGGACGGTTGGTACAGATGGAAAAGATTCCTCTGCTAACAACACCAGTGTTCTCATTACCTGACAACTCAAGAGAGATTGTGTAATTAGAGAGATGGGTGTGAGAAATTTATGTTTAATTAAAGTGAACAACAGCCACTGACTGATGTGAGGCATCTATAGTTGTTTGTTATAGTGCTTTCGAGATGATGATTTGGAAGTTGACATGAATGCTGTTTACAAGTTGAAAACTGGTAATTACAGTAACTCTGAAATGATGTGAGCACAGCACTGGCAACATTTTAATGACAACCTGATGACAGTTGGTATGATGTTTGTTAAGTGTTAATCAAAGCTAATTAAATCACATCTGCACAAAGCCCTGGTGAAGCCAATTAGCTTAGTTTTGTATTGCAGAACTCTTAATGATACCTAAAGATGTTTTTTAATCTTTAATATTGTTTTTCTTTAATGAATATTTCATCTCTGTGATATTTTATCACAGAGATGAATGAACGCTTAAGATTTTAAGCTAAGGTTTAATGGTCATTATGATTTCCCTTAACTGGAACAAAGGGCTGAACAAAAACCTTGAAAAACAGTTCTGGACCAAAAGTCTGTCCACATACCTTTGGCCATATGGTGTATCTATTGCTCTTGGTGTTAGTAACAGTGATCCATAAACATAAATGGAAAAATATTGTGATCTTGTACCATTTGGCCAATCTCTGCTTCAGCTCTCTCAGCAGGTCTTGGTTGAGTTCGTAGAGTTGTGGGAGGTAGTAAAGGATCTGGTTGAGAAGACGCTCCTCAATCACAGGCTTCCCGTTCTGACGAGATGCTTTAGACACTGCATCCCGAAAGTCCTGCAGGTCAGATAGTCAGACAAATAAAGAGTCAGATGGTCAAATACAGGAACTCAGGCACACTGGGAAAAACCCAGAGTATGCAAAGTTTGCCTGGGTCTCTTTAGATTTTCTTGAAAATGCAGTTCAGTCTGAGATCATTAAATGAAACCCAAGGAATGGACTAAAGAAATACAGGTATAAAAGCTGTCTGCTCTGCAAATTATATAACATGGTCCCCAAAAGAAGACTATAAATTAGATCAGCTCCAGGAACCTTGAGTATAAAAGATAAAGAGAGAGGAATACTGCTGACCCATGACCTACAAACACCTGACTCACATTAAGCATCCTCAAGTTTCCAGAATATAGTGAGTCAGGACTAAAAAACGAGCACAGAGGAGCCTGAGGGCGCCATCTCTGCTTCTTTTTCTGATGATGTTGAGTTTTTTTTTTTTTGGTGGTTTATGTGATCACATGGCAAATAAAACCGCTTAAAGACTGGGCCCCCATTAGAGAGCTCCTGCGGTTAACATGTGTGATCTCCTACTACTACAACAGCTGCCAGTGATGAAGGTGGGTCATGTGGATGTTAGAAAAATATGGATGATTCACGAGATAAAATAAGAATCAGCAGTAAAGTGAAGATTTGTTAGTGATGTTAATATGCTGCTGGGAGGTCAACAATTTGGAGACAATAGGTTTTAACTTGACAGCAAAAGTACAAAGAGAATGGCACTAGCATGGCTAAAAAATACAGTTCAACTGATAACTGATTAAAATACACAACAAATGTTATCATACAGCAGTTTGTGGAAAGCTATTTGCGGACTTCCTGGTGAAGATGGAGAATGAACACATACTAAGTCACCTCCACATTCTTGGTATGACTGTTCCTCATTACTGGACTCCATTCCCCTACAGTCTACAGAGACCCAAGCACTTCCTGTCTGCGCTCTGCACCGAGGAGCCATCGCTTGTGACTCAGTCCTACTACATTCTCATTCATGATTTTGTCTCTCCAAGCATCAACTCATCTGACTGTACTTATCTTGTTAGAATAAAGAGGTAGAAAAATACCATTGATTTACAGTATGACGTTATATGTCCAGTTTTTAAACTGTCTATCAGGTCGACGCGACTGGCCATTGTAGTCATACTGTAAATCAATCAGTCATTTTTCCGTGAACTGTCTTTGTTTTTGGTGGGGTGGCAATGCTGCTCTGTTGGTCCGTCACTCTGAAATGTTTCAACAATTATCGGATGAACTGATATAATATCGTTATGGTTCCCAGAGGATGAATCCTTCTGACATTTGTGGTAATGTGAATTTTCCTCTAACTATATATATGGTTTGGAGTGAAATGTTTCAACAAACACTAGATGGATAATTGTCATAAAATTTGTACATACATTCATGGTCCCTGCAGGATGAACTGTAATAACTTTGGTATCTGGCGCCATCATCAGGTCAAAATTTCAATTTGTCCATAGAATCAAATAAAACTAATTCCCTTCAGTCTCAGCTGTACTTTGTCTTTACTGCTAATTTACAAATGCTAAAATGCTAACATATTAGACTGGTCATAATACCTGCCTAATATCACCATGTTAGCATTGTCATTATGAGCAGGTTAGCATGGTGATGTTAGCATTTAGCTCAAAGGACCATTGTGCTAAAGTACAGCCTCACACAGACACTGGCTATGACTTCAAGTTTTAACCATCCTTTGTGCCAATATGACCCACAGCCATAGTGGCTGTGTTGGTAGTTGTGCTTAAGTCCTTATTTTATAAACTGCCTCCATTTTTTATATTATTTAGTTTTATTTTATTTTAGTCTGAAAGGGCAAGCAAGTTCACACATTTGATTGTGTTCCTTTATCAATTCAGATACTGTACATCACATCGTATAGCTGATTAATTACGAGACAGTAATTGTTAAAGGTTGTTGTACCTGTTACCCTACATTGCGTTTTGTCACGTGTCAAACATCTTAAGGGAATTAAAGCAAGGAAAGATTAAATTTCTCAAAATTTCAAAAGGAGACAACATGACTCTGTTTAGGTCCAGAGAAGTGCAGTGTTTCGGTTAGATTGCACTACCAGGGAAATTCAGTAGAAAACCATGAGGAATGTGAACTATGAGGGCAAGACTGAGGGGAGCTGGGTCTGCAAACAGTCTTATCCTGCATGGGGTGTGCCCCAGTGGTAAGCATAATCAAACACATATGGAGAATGTGGGCTCTCACAGTAGACTAGCACTAGATAAAACATATAGAGAACAACACCAGCCTCTGCTCTCATCACAGCAAACACGAGGCCTGTTTTTGTGTGAAGCAAATAACACTAAAGGGTGATGTGTGGGGTTCTTACAACATGAAGCAGCTTCAGGACATCAACAAACCTGGAAAAGAAAACAATGGAAAAAGTTAAATAAGTTATGGTAAATAAGTAAAGCAAAGTGAAGAATACAGACAAGAAAAATACATTCTCTCACTTCTCTTCTTCGAGTGTTATCTAGCCATGCTGACATTTGTGCTTCTATTTGCCAAGGTTTTGAGATATCTGTCTCCACCCAACGCAATGTGCTTTCATAGGGTTTTATCTTTGCTGCTCACAGCATAAAAAATGAACAGACACATGTCTGTCCAAAAGTAATATGCTTTGTGTTACACAATGTACAGACCCAAAGTGTTTTCATTTTATACAAGAGAAATAGTCTCTATGAGGCTGTTGCTAGTGAAGTTTGTGGATTATCCAGAGCAATGGGATCACTGTTAGTAGACTGAGATACTGCTGTTCAGTTTCTAAATGTCCCTAAATGTTAGATGTTCCCTTCACCTCAGATGCACTCAGAGAGCGATATCTCCAAACCAGGGCAAATAAAACCATAACTATCTGCGTGGCTGGACACCACAAGTAGCAAGTGAGAAAATCTTCTTTTTTTTTTTCTTTTTGTAATTTGAGTGAACCTACGCTTTAAGAAAAAAAAAGAAGACTCTTACACACTCTCGGAGGACATGATTTCGGTAGCGATGTGGTGAATCTTATTCTTCTTCTCTCCACTCTGCGTCTAACAACGGTGCAAAAACAGACTTTCATTAAATGGATTAAAGAACAAGGCTCATAACAAAAACACCCACAGATACATGCATCATAATACACCCAGTTGCTCATTAGGAACTAGAGGGTGCGGTTTGTGGTGCTTTTGAACTGTATCACATCAAACAGAGGGGTGTTTCTGTTCTTTAGCCTACCCTCATTAATATAATACAGTACAATTCAACAGCACCGCAGCATGCAACCTCCAAAATGATCCTATAGTCAAACCACACCTCTCAAAACACTTTCAATGAAAATTGTGAAGGTAGGATTTATTATATATTATACTGCATTAGTGTAAGCTAGGTGTTTCTTATAAAACTGGAAACTGAGTGTACATTCAGGAGGATATTCGTTATACATGAGGTCAGTGAAAATGAGGGAACAAAGTGTGAAAATGAAGAAAAGTTTTCAAAACTTTTATCTCTCAGCCCTTGTAAAGAACAAACCCTGGGAAATGATTCCAGGAAATATTTTTGAGCACACAGGGGACTGAAGTCATAAATCATACACAGCATCTGCTCTCCTCACCGTACTCTCCTCCGGCTGCTCAGGGTCTCCTTTACTTGAGATGGAGCTGCTATCGTTGTCCTCCTCATCTGAGGACGAGATGTTGGCCGCGATGTCATCATCCGAGGGACCATCACCCAGGGGTGCAGATTCCTCATTGGCAGAGTTTCTGTTGAAAGGGCAGGATGTTAGGCTCAGACACGAACCGAGACAGATGCCAGAGCATGAACAAAATGTGCAGGTGCTGCGGACACATAGAAACAACTGGAGGCATTAATTAAAAACACTGAATGCAGAACAACATGACACAGCTTTAGTCATTCAAACGTGATATAATGAGAAGGCGGAAAGTGAGGATGTTATTTATGGAAGAGACGAGGCTGAAATAAAAAACACCTATGTCAGCATTTCATAAGTGGGAGTGTGCCTCTTTGGAAGTCCAGTGGTATTCGAACATTTCCTGCTTTGATCAAATGGGAGTTATGAAAAAGAACACACAGGAAAGGGAGCACTTGACACAGCCGGAAAAACATTTAATGATAATCATCAACACTGTCACATATCACTAGCCCCAGTCCAGCTGCACACCTCGGGTCACAGAGCAGCAGTTTGGCTAAATGCTGCCAAGCCCAATAGAAACAAACTCTAAACTAAACACAAACCACTCGCCACGATCATCACAATCATCACACACTTTCTTCATTTAATCTTCCAGCTAAAAGAAAATGACTAGATACGAAGAGCTAAAAGGAAACTGCACCAAAGAGAAATTACAAATCTAAAATACCACAATTCCCTGAGGGAGCACTCGATGTGAAACGACGGCACCTCCCTGAACAAAACTGCAGAAAAAGAAATAGACCCTAGCATCAGCAGCAGACCCATTAAGTCAGAGTCAGTGGGTCTCACATACTGTGACGTGTTTACAATAACTGTTGTATTTAACTGTGACTGGTCTGTGTCTGTGAGCCGCTCAACGTGTTTCCAACATGTGATTGTTGCACTGTTTGACACACTAAGCCGTGAGAGGCAGAGTGTACAGTTACACAAACTGTAATCCTATTTTTCCAACTGACTTCTGCTCATTCATAACACACCATGCATTCTTTATGTAAAAGGATAATTACAAAGATTACTCCCAAGACTATAAACATACTTAAAGTTTAATTGAGCTAATTAAGCATGTTGTGACCAAACTTTTTAAGGGTCAGTTCACCCAAAATCACATTTCCTCACCTTCTCCACTGCTACTGTATATCTGTATGTGTTGTTTTTTTTTTATCCTAGGATGTGAGCATTTGAAATCACATTATGAAAATTCAGTACCAGTGTCTTGTCCCAGAAACAGGGTGTCTGTTCCTCTGCTTAATTCACAGACCTCCCTGTCAGTTTTATAGAGACTATTTCTTTGATAAAAAACAAGTTTCAGTGAAAACTATTGACAGCAGGCTCTGGTGATAACACGGAGTAACAAGAACATGGTTTCTGGAAAGACACACTGCTCTTTAAGAATCAGTTTTCATTGCTTTGAGCAGCACAAAGGGATTTCCCCTGTGTTTGAGTGTAGTTAAAAAAAATAATTCTCAGTGACAGATATCTCAAAACCTGGAGTGCTGGTGTCTGAACTGAACCCTTTAAAAATGGAGACACTTTTAGTTGAAGTACCTTCTTAGCCTCAGATAAAAAGATGCTGAGCTACAATGCACTGGTGACAAACACTGATGACTTTTAGGTTTCTCTAGTGTTGCCTCTGATAATAACCTGTAGTATATACTGTATTGTATAGTGCACCATAACCTATAGTACATATTTAAGAAATGGTATGCGCAATCAAAATATTTAAGTCAACTCATAATCAACTCCCGAAAGGTGTGGCAAACACACGTGCCCCCTTACTTGTCACACACCCCAGACAGGAATCTGCAACAAAAGACAATGTGACACGAGTCTTAGCGATCTTGCCTTTTTACAAATGTCATTAACTAACAGATAACTGGTTTTACGAAGCCTCAGGTGTTTCCTGTACTCATTTAATAAAACAAGGCAATCATCTAATGTGCAGTAAACTCATAGGTAAGTTTAGGATGTGATGTAGACAGACATGAAAGCCACCACAATCTACCTTTCATAGTCTGTAGGTGTCTGACACTGTTGGTGTCCAGTGTTTTTCTCGAAGGACATATATGGCTCCTGCTCCTCGTAAATGCCCTCATCGTTATACAATTCGCTGTCCCAGGCCGAGGGCTGCGAGAGGGAGGCCCGAGAAGATGACCCCGCCTTCCCCACGTGAACGTTAATGTAGTCTGGTATCTCCTCATAATGACGAACGTTCTCATAGTGAACAGCCTCATCTATTCCAGGGAAACAATCATCTCCATCCACGCTTTGCTCTACTCCAATCAGAGGGCAGGAGAATTTACGTTCAGCCCTGAGACTCTCTGGGAAGTTCTGACATGCTTCTTGGTCCTTGTCCACACTTTGTTCATTATCATCCCCGGTGCAGTCGGGGCTCTGGCTTCCTCTTACTATCAGCTTGGGTAGCATCTTCACTGAGAGCTTCAAGTCCAGCAGTTTCCGGAAAGAGTTTCTCCTCTGTCCTTCAGAGCGAGTGAGGTCAGCAGTGGAGAACGACTTGGCTCTCTGTTTCCCCAAGCTGCCCCGCAAAGGCTTGATTCCAGCTGTTAAGAGGTCTCTGCTTGTTTTCTCATCTGGAGGCAAAGGCAGCTCCCTCATCACTCTGTCCTGAAAAACACTATCTTGTCTGGGAAGGGCCTGTCGTTTCCCATTATCTCCTAATTTCCCCTCTTCTGTCTCCTCAGAGGAGTCCTGTCTCTGCGTGAACGGCATGGGGCTGCTGTGTCTCTGTGGCTTCGTTGGACGCACCTTGACCACTCCATCCTGTGGTGCCACGGTGTATGCAGGAGGCTGGCTGATCTGTGGGTGACTGAGCAAACTGTTATGAGGAGGACAACGTGTGAGGTCACTGTAGACCGCCTTCTGATCCTCCTCTCCTTCCATCTCCCTCTCCACCTCTTCATCCTCCTTGTCCACTGATATCTCCATCTCATAGATGCTGATGTCCCAACCCAGATCCTCCTCATCCACATCCTTTGGCAGTGTTTCAGGAGCAGAGGTTGGCACTTTCTCAGGTGCAGACAGAAAAGGCTTTTTCTTGGGTGGAGGGGCTGGTGGAGCACAGGCCTTTCTCAGAGGCAGAACAATTGGCTGCTTGTTTTCACTAACAGGTACACTGACAGACAGGGATGAGCTGTCCTTCCTCTCTGATGACACCCTCACCTCTTTGACGTTCATTTCCCTCCCTTCCTGGTTTATAATCTCTTCCCTGTCCTTCTCCACCTTTTCCTGACCAACCAGAACAGCTGTCTTGGGTTTCCGTGGTACAGGGACGGGTTTCCTAGGGGCTGCTGGGACTGGTTTGCTCTGGGGCACACTAAGTATTTGCTCTGAGCCAAGAGCATCTTCCTTTGGTCCTCGCCCAGGTGCACTCTGAGGTATCACGTTACCATTTACCTCATCGCTCCATGTTCTGTGAGGAAGAGACGGCCTAACTCTCACCACAGGACTTGAGGTACTGATGTCTGTGTTGAGATTTTTGTCCAAAGTAAGCATCTCTTGTAGAGGTTTATGGTTAGTGAGGTGGGTATTGGTGGGTGCAGGCAGTAGACAAACATTTTGTGGAGGGTTAGCGCTCGTCACCTGGCTCTTGGCGGCGTCTGTTCTCTCCCTGCCGTCCACGACACCTTGAGATGTAGGGAGAAGCTTCCTGTTTTCTTCAGCTTTACCTTTGTGCAGTGTTTTCAAGACTTTCTCCGTTTTGTCTCTGCTTGCTGATGTGTTCCTGATGCACTGGCAGTTTTCCTGGCTACACAAGCAAATAGGAATAATATAATCCCAATCTGGCTTTTTGTTTTCTTGCTGTATTCCATTTTGGCCGTTCAGTAGACCGACGGTCCGAGGGTTTCCTGTTACAGATGTTTGGTGCAGGCTCTTTGAAATGAGAGGTTTGGATTCCACAGCGCTGGTGAGTTTGGAGAGGCAGGGTTTAGGGGCCAATACTGGTTTAACCCTTCTGGGAGTGCCTGGAGAAGGGATAGAGAGGCCTTCTCTTCTGGGGGTTGAGGGAGACAGCCCCGGCCTCTGGGGCTGCACCAGCTTTGGTTTAGGGGCCAGAGGCGGCTTGTACATGCCTGAGGAGAGAAAAACAAAAGATTTACACTTGTCTTCACTGAAACAGAACCTCAAATCATGCTATATCTACATTATCTAAAATATAGCAAAACAATTATGGCTCTAATCCGACACAATGAAAGAGGCATGTTCTGAATTTCCAGATGGCACATTTGATGTATTTTCTGACAGATGCTGCTCTGACGGGGTTTCACTCTTTAACTCTTTAAATCTGCTCTGTAGCATTGATCCTAACCTAGTGACAGCTTAGTGTAAAACTGTTGTAAAGTACTCAACCAACTCTCCGGGGGGTTCGAATATCACATGGCTTTTGTTTTCCCCTGCACACAGCAGCACAGTAATCCTGCTAATGGCCCATGTCAACAGGCAGAGGAGGAGGAGGAGGAGCAGATGGGAGATGAAGAGTAGGAGAGAAATGGAGGAGGGGGAGCACAGGGACTGGATGGAAAAGAGTCACGCAAACTTGTACATCTGTCTGAACCAGTGTCCTTAAATCTTCTGTTGGGGGAGTGTAACTGTAACATGCTGACCTACAGAGATGTTGTTGTTGGTTTTTTACCCCTCAGCAAATCACATATTTCTCTTCTTAGCAAGCCACAGTTTGACAAAATCTGCAAGTCTACAAAAACATGTCATGTAGTTTCATTAGGAGATTGTTGGCACAGTGAGTGACACATGTTTATGAGTGACACACAAGTTAAATATAAAACTTACAGTCACTTACCTGTACAATACAAACAATACATACATTTATTCTTTCTTTAGTCTATTTTGCTGCGTCTGTCTTGAATCTATTATTACACTTGTTTGGCTGCTTTCACCTACATTTAAAATCCTAACCAGGGACTAAAGTACAAACAATACATCTGTTGCATCGTCGCTCACTCACTTACCTGAGTTCATCCTCGCTTCGCTCCTGTTTCGTCTGGTCTTATGAATCAGTGCAGCGGAAACAAATCGTCCTTCATGTCCGGGTACATTTACAAGACTCAAACTAAGTTATGTATGAAAAAGAAATCGGCATTTTCCCTGCGTTTGTTCGAGCAGCAGCACTTTGTGATCCCGCTGTCAACACTTCATTCTCACCGAAGCCGCACTGGCTGCCAAGTGAGCTTCCTTTTTGTTTTCATGAACGGTCCACTAGAGGTCCTCAGCAGGCACAGACTGCCGCATCCAATAAAAAATGCTTCTATGTGTCAGTTAAAATGAAGTGTAGCATTAACTAAGCCTCACGTGTATGTTAAGAAATAAAAAATCCTGAGCCTTTGATGCTAAATTATTATCTTCTCAGCATCTGATCAACGTTGCATTTCCACCCAACCGCATTAAGGCTTCTAAATTGCTTATCATCATTACACAGAAATGTTCCATAGAGCCATACGCACATATCTTTCCACATACATCATCATTACTAATATTAACCCCGCTGTGACTAAGAGGCTAGAAATACGAGTGGACGCCAGCTGATGTTTTGTAAGCCATGTTTGAGTCATGGTTGAGGAAGTAAAACTGAAAAGCCATCATTTTTCACCATGCCATAACTTTATCATCAGGTTGATCAGGCAGATGTTCTTACAGGAAAGAAAGCAGAAAGGAAGGATGATAAGTGGCAGCAAGTGGCAAGATTGTGAGATTAGATTTAAAAAAAAAAGAAAGAAAGAAAGAAAGAAAGAAAGAAAGAAAGAAAGAAAGAAAGAAAGAAGAAATAAAGAAAAGACAATACTGTGTAGTTTAGTGTTTTTATTACATCTGAGCATCTTTACTGAAAAATACAATAAATACACATATTTCCCATGGATACTTATACAAGATGAAAAGTGTATTATTCAGACAGCACTGACACATCTGCACTCACCCCTGATGCCCACAAGTGTTGCCAGTTTACTCCTTACTGTCAAAGGTTGAAGGGAATATTTAATCTGCAGTTACAGATTGGTGCAAACCTGCATAAGCGGTTTGACTGCAAATTAACCTAAAGTGTAAATCAACAGCTGGTGCACTCTTGTAACTTTGGTGAGTGACACAGAGGTAATCCTGTCACTGGAGTATATTCAGTGTGAAATGACAGGAACGTGAGGAAATGCAGGAGTCTTCTTCTTTGGTTTGATACAAAAGCCCCTGTGTCGTCGGTGTGATGCCTCTGTGGTTCTTCTGTCCAGGGAGAACACATTGGCACGTAATTTAATCAGATATCTCAAAAACTGTGTTAATTAACAACACAGCCAGGGTGAAGATCAAAGGTGGTAAAGATTTATGAGAACACAACACATTACAGGAAAAAAGAAATTACATTTTAGCTTCATTATTCACCCAGAACAATGAATTAGCAGGGATTATAAAACAGTATCAGTATCAGTCACAAACCTCTCCTTGGCCTTTTCCACTGAAGCAGGCAGTGTTGCACCATCTCCTTCTTTTAGTGTTGCATGTTGTGAGTTGTGTGCATCTGTGGCTGTGCGGTTATTCCCTGTGTCACTGCAAGTAAAGCACAGAATAGAATAAAAGTAATAAACTTAATTAAATCAGCTTCTTTATATCCAATCTGTAATTTATTGAAACACTTAACCTGTGCTTTGTGATGATGAATTTTATTGAATTCTTTTGTGGTTACAAATTCCATGATCACTGACGATTGTTGAAGTCTATATCCTTTACATTAACGCTATATGAAATGATCCATTTTCTTACAGTGAATCAGAGTCTCAGAGGGGATGGTGCTGTAATACCTGAACTTGTAGTCTGGTGGGAGGCTCAGGCCTAATCTGTAGTCTCCCCTGGTTCTGGAGATTTGCTTTTGAAGGTCCCTGACTGAGCAGCCGCGACCACTGAATATGTAGCCCACAAACAGCAGCTTCCCTCTGATGTACATCTGTCACATTCACAAGGAGAATTCACATGTGAAATGGGGGAAAAAAAAAAATCACCACAATGACTGACTTTTACTGTTGTATTTAAAAGAAGCTTCAGTCAGTGTATTTTTCTTTAGATTGCAGAAGAGGTTTGAACCACGTTAATCCTATCTTTTCCCAACATACGTCAGATCAGTCATGTGGTAATGTTTAGTTTCATATTTCACAACAGAGGAACGTACAGTGCGTGTGTGTGTGTGTGTGTGTGTGTGTGTGTGCAGAATCCTGTCAATCATAATGGCTGCTCTCCCTGAGCCTCTGAGTAAAACCTCTGGGCCTTAAGTATTTAAGTGCAAACGCTGTTCCATGTCCCTGATACTAGTAATTTCTGTTTGATTTATGGGCTCAAGGAGGAATTTTCATCTTACAGCAAAATTCATTGGAGCAGCTGTCATGACTTTAGGCTAAAAATTAAAGCCCCCTTTTGTAATTAAGAAGTGTCATCCCTCACTGCTGTCAGCTCACAGCCCTTTTATAATAAATGTCCGGGTTTCTTGGAGAGGGCAGTACCTTATTCAAAGTCCTCCTCACCCCATCCCCCCACTGCTTACACCTCCTCTGCTTCAGACAAGCACTGCTGCTGCCCCCCAGTGGTGGCCGTGAGAACATGTACTGAGCAGAGCCTGCAGCCTCAGGCCAAGCCTGCAGTGGGTTTACTGACCAGGACCATCCCAGGAGAAGCATTGTGTCGCTGCTGCAGCAGGATGTTCTCAGATCCACAGCTCAGCTTCTCTGTTGACATCTCGTACCTCACCAGGCGAAATGAATCCATCTGGCACTGGATTAAAAAGGAAAAAATACTGATGCTGTTAATGAGTTTCCAGAAATATGTTGTATAATAGCCTGCTGACTGTAGCATGTCGTGCTCTGACGTCTTTCCTTCACTTTGTTGTGTAGCCTGTGCAGTGCTGTGTTGTCATTGCAAAATGTGCATCAGTATCAAGGAAATTTCTGCACACTTAATGATGAAACTGAATGTTATTTTAACTACAGTTATGCAACAAACAAGGGATGTTCATACTGTGTATCGGAGACTGTAAAGGTCTTTATATGTCTCCTATAACAGCTGAACAAAATAACAGAAACGTGTCGCGTATTGCTTTGTAGATTTTGTTATTTTGTGTTTTTGCATTCACACCTGACTACATGGCATGGTTCTGTGTTTATTCCTCCTCCTGTAAAGCTGCTCCAGGGCCTCCTGGTCAGGCACTGCGTGTGTGTTACTGATGGGCTGGCGTGGCAGAGTCACACACACCACCAGGATCTGTTGACTGTGTGGAGGCTGGCCCATCACAAAGGTATCGTACTCCAGGTCCGTCACCACTGGCATCAGTGTCACACTGCAGCAGCAGCACCGCCTCCGCCTCCCCTCCCCCAGCAGGGCAGCTCGCAGCAGCACAGGGCACACTGTGAGGGGGACGGAGGGGGTGAGTGACGACGGGGCTGGGCAACGGGTGACAGCAGCAGGCTGCGACTCTGGACTCTTTGGAATAATCACTGACCTGGCAGTGGTGATAGTGAAGTTGTCATTATAAATAAGCCTCTTAAAAACGCCAGTAAATGTCATTTTCTGCGCAGTAACATTTGAATGAGCTGTAACTGTAGCGCCTGTCAATGATACAAATTGTTCTTACTTACTCCAGCTTGATGTTGCCGTGAATTTGAAGAGGTCCTATCTGCGTGACATGGGGCTCCTCCTTTGATCGCTTTTTAGTCGTCCTGACAACAATCACATTAACAAAGTGAAATGACGCCTGATTAGGATCTACATAGTGCAGCATACATCTGTTCAAAGTCTAGCAGAGCTCAAGCACTTGAAACTGATCAATAAACGGTGTGTCTCCGTCATTATTACAAAATCAATCACTGGCTTTTGTTTAAGGATAGATGGCTAGATTATGATGCACTTACATCCACAAATTTATCTTGGTTATACATAGATAAAATAAGCTAATGTAATGTCATTGCTTGTTATTTAGCTCCTCCAACATGAATCAACTACAAAGAGTAGACTTGTGTAAGGTATCACTAACACAGCTTTCAAATCCCAATTTTCCATAAAAACAATTAATTGTTCGGCAGTACAACCATGTCTTTCAAACCCCACACCTCTAGTTTGGGATGCAGGCTTTCTCTTATAAATGTGTTCTCCTCAAGCCCTTACTGAGATAACCCTGATGACATCACATGGGTCATTTTCTCAGACTTGCCAGAGCTCCATCCACACGACATTGTACATGTTTTCATAAGCTCTGTAATACTTCCCATGATCACTAAATCTTCTTTGACATGCTAAATCAGTGGAGTGGTCCTGTGTCCTGGTGTGAAGTGTGCACCTTGGCAGCCTGACTGAAGAGTCAGCAGGTCTTTCTGCTGACGCTGACAGGTGTCTGTGCAGCTCCTGTAGCTCAGTCCTGCACTCCTCTGGCTGGTTTGGTTTTGCATCTGCCCACTCAGGTGGGTTCAGAGAAGGCAGAGCAGCTGACTGCACCTCTCTCCTCAGCCTGGTCCTCAGTGGGGCAGCTGGCATCCGCTCTGTGTCAGGACACTTGATGCCTGAAGGAGAGGAAGAGGTCACTCAGAAATGCACACAGACACCGAGTGACACGACTGACCGTGAACAAGATCCTGATGGAACTATTCAATAATGTTGAGTTTGCAAGATGAGGTGATACTGTAACTTTTTGCTTCACTGAACTACTCGAAACAACCTTACCAGGTCAGATTGGCTCATTGTTACTTTTATGTGCACTACATACTTTAATAACTCTTACCCATCCTCCGGTGGCAGTTTGAACCCATCTGGGAAGAGTGAGCACATCTTACGTATTTCAGAAAAGCTAGAAAGATAAACTCTGAGCTGTCAGGTACCAGTGGCTGCACGGTAATAATCCAGCCAGTCCTCCAGGGTGTTTCGTACTCTCTTCTGAAGCTTTTTCAGCTCCCTGCCAGCAAGCCCTCCTCTTCTCCACCGTGCTGATGGCTCCTCCAGCCCCTCCATCTCTCTGACCATCTGGGAGACCTCCCGGGAGCACACAGACACCTGCCATACATCATTACTCGCACGGTAGAATATATGACACAGAACAACACAAGCCATTTAGCAAGATGTTCTACACAGAGTGACTCAGTGAAGGCATCTGCAGAACCTGTAGAGGCTCACAAAGGAATCGGAGGTATTCATGTGGCAAAGAATATTTTCTGTGCTCAAACAATAAAAGGAAACAAAACACCTGATTATCTAAAGAATGGTCTACATTTCTATGGTTGATGTCTGTTTCCCTATTGATTTGTGTTTGCCTTTACCTTAACCTAACTTCAACATAAGACCAGCATTGACACTCAAACATCATACTGTCATAACAAGTGTTTTACAGGACTGACTGTCAGGTTCCTCTTGCTCTGTAGGACCACAGCAGGGGATTTTGTCGTCCTTGCCAGCAGGATGTCTTGAGCAGCATCAGATGTAAACTTTGCATCAGTCTGCAAGCACAGCTGTTAATGCAGAGTAGATATTATAAATTAGACTTTTAAAAAAAAAAATCATACATCTATTGTCTACTAGATAATCATAATCTCACCGTTTCCTTAGATTGGTTAATGTTAGGCAAGGCAGAAAGAGGAAGTTGAACACTTTCATTGTTACACCTGAAGCTGAGCATGGCAGAGGTACCGCTGAGCAGCATCACAGAGATCAGATCTGACAACTGTAGGGGACAGAAAGAATTTACGCAATCTTGAAAAATGGCAAATTGTCATGAGCTGTAGTGAATCCACCCATTTAATCTGCATGAAATACCCCTGTTCTAAAATGAGCAGTCATGATGAAATGCGACCGTCTTGGTCCTGTCAGAGACACATCGTGTTCGTTCATCAGTAGGTCATGGGTCATACACAACACCCTCTGCTATGTTTCCCCTAAATGTGACACTTCCTATATAGATGTCTCACATGACAGGTTCACCTGAGATTTTTAGTCCTTCAGACACATGTTCTCTATGAAACATGTAACTTCTTTCATATTAAGACTGTTGCCAGGGGACCTCATTTGTTTATAAGACAAAGAAAATAAATGTAATGTTGTAGTTTTCTCAAAAGTCACTATCCTGGATCTGTAGCTGCATCTTCACCTGTATAACGATCTTCTCCTTCAGTGCACGATCAGTCTGCCAGCTCCACTCCTTCGTGATGTTCCCATAGTGGTCACTTATCAATCCACCATCCTGGTCCCACACTGCTGTAATAGAGGAGCTGGAGAAACATATGAGAAAGACCTACATTTCAAACATCATCAAAGTCATCACACATAAATGACTACAGAGACAGTTTAAAAGCATTCAGCATTTTGTAACCACAGTGCAGTGCAAGACATGAACAAATAGCTTGTTCCAGATATGTGGTGAGCAGCAGATCAGAAAATGTATGTTGGTCCTAAATCATTCAAGTGCTTTATAGACAACAGCAGTATTTGTATTTCTATGACACAGGAGATCATTGCATTTCCATTAAATTGAGGGACTCACAAGATTTTTTTAAATGGCCAAAGTCAAAGCAGTAGAGGCAGAGATATTATGACTTTTCATCCCTCATATGGGTCAAGCTCCAAAAACAAAAAACAGGATCCTAACTTTCACATAATCATGGGAAAATCAGGGTTATTTTTTCAAACTATGGAAAGCACCTACCACAGCCAGTGAAGAGATTACACAAATGTTTACACTGTACTCCTCATGATTAGTAAACTGCTGTAAAATCAGTGGAGGGCACATTTAATCTATTCAGATATTCTCACATATCAGCACTGAACTCACCTGAGAGGGTGTGTAACAGCCCCACGCCCAAACGCTGTGATAGTCGCCAGCATAACGGGAAACTCACTGTCACTGAACACGTTGGTATAGAAGCCTCCATAGGACAGACCTGAGTGGCTCTGGCACACTGCCATACAACCAGATGGATAGCTGAGAGGGAAGGGTCAAGGGTCAAAAGGTCAGCTGCAGTGACACATTTGCCATATGCCCTACACTGTATTTGCTTCTTGGACAACCACTACCAATAAAATCGTTATGAATAAACATGATGGGAGAAGGATACTATATAAATGAGGAGCCGTCGTCGATCCTGTAGTGTAGTTTCTGCCGTGCTGGATCCTGCTGCTTCACCTTTGGTATCTGGGGTATCCCGTTAACTAAAGTGGCAGGCTGGGCCTTTCTCCTGGCTCTGCCGTCCTTCAGTTTTGCCCTTGCTTCTCCATAGTGACGGAGTACGAGAGGCTTTTTCAGGTTCTGTCCAGCTGTTTGCAATTTTCTGTGTGAAGATGAAGTCATTTCTTATGCTTAAAAACTGATCTCTCAAGCTACAGAGATTGCATTTTTGTGGGGTTACATTGAAAAAGTAAACATGATTTCAAACAGCTAATGACCAAATGTAAAATTCAGGAAGGATTTGATAGTTCTTATGTTCTAAATAAAAACCAGCGCCACACAATACTGAGAGATTAACTTAATTAAAGTTATTAAACTGACAGCCTTTGACTTTGACAGCTCAAAGTCTGCAGCCACTGGCTAAAACTATACTTTATACTACTTAGCGCACCATGTTAGCATGCTTTTTCAATTAGCAGAGTACAGCTGAGGCTGATGGGGATGTCTTGTAGGTATTTGGTCAGAAAGAACTGGATTAAGTAAAATTTTAACCAATGAGGGTGCTACATGGATTATTATGATTCATGCCGAGTAGGGAAATGAATGTGTGTTGAGACATATCAACCAGAACCGCAAATGTCAACCTCACTGTGGCGCTACAGGAATTACCAGGGTGTCACCAAAGTCATTAGGATTCATTGTCCAGGAATCATGAATATCCGCAAGAAATTCTGAACCAATCTATCCAGTGGTTGTTGAGATATTTCAGTCTGGAACAAAGTGGTGGACGGAGTGATCAACTGAACACTGCCACTGCTAGAAAAATCTGATTATCAAATATGAAATTTTGGAATGCAACCCGTCATTTACACACTTTTCTAATAATGCAGCTATGTAGGTTACCAACGCACTCAGGGTTTCTGGCCGCGTGCAGTCGCTCCACCACCCACTGACACAAACTGATCTGCTGAGGCTCATCATAGGAGGGCTGCTTTGGCTGAATGATCCAACCTGGACACAAATCACATCCAGCTGAGGCAGCAGAGGAACAGCAGTAACACAGTCAACCAGAGTCACATCAGCCAACATTAACACAATGCTGCAGCTCCATGTCATACCTGGGTCTTTACAGCTGCTGGATGAGATAGAGAAACTCACGGTTGAGGAGTTGTGAGCTGTTGGGGAGAGAGAATATGGGACTTAATCCATATATAGGATAGCCTGAGGTCTTATATTCACCATTTTATATACAGTTGCTACCTGGAACATCAGGGAACTTAATAATGTAACTCAATAGCCCTGTAACTGATTAACAAACAGCAGTACATCTGTGTCCAGCCACCAGCTGCCTTGTTTGATCTGGTAAACAAATCCTGTCCCTTTCCTAGGCTTGCAACCAAAGATGTCCACAACTTTATTCTTAGAAGGTCAAGAGAAATTACTTTTTTTCACCCCTGTCACTCTCATTATTACTGTCTCTTACCTGCATTAACTCTCACATATAGAAGAGCATTATCACTTGAGAGTGGTGCAGTGACTGCTTTGCCTTTCCTGCCTTATTGCTAGTTTTCCATATAGACAGTCTATGGTGTGTTACCCATATAACACTAACATTTTCTATTAAAGAATACTTTATAAAGAGTGTATTTTGTAACTAAGGACTTAATTAATGGTTAATAAAACATTATTTAATAATCTATAGGCTGGTAATAAGCCATTTCTAATATCAATTTTTTGGGTTGCCAGGTTGTGGAAAAGCACTTATCCAGCATTTCACTTATGACAGAAACATTTACACTTTTTTACACAATATTGTAGTGGAAGAACAGTATATTAATGACTTGCCAGCATTTCTATCTTTACACCTGTTCACTTATGAAGTGAGGAATAATAATCAAACAAATCTTAATTTATCAGCAAATCATCATTATTCATCAAATCATCAACAATTAATTTTCTCTTAACCTATCATAAGTACTTATAGCCTGTGGTCTGAGAAGTATGGAAGCCCATTTCCATCAGTATGGGGGAAAATGAAGAGTTGACATGATAGTAAGTAATAATTTATCATGATAAAGGAGAATAATGAGACACACAGTCAGTCAGATAGGTCACCAAACTGGAGTAGCCTACCAAACAATTTTGACTTAGCAGGCTAAATCACCTAGCTTAGCCTGATAAGTTTCTTTCATCGCGACTTAGCAGGCTAACTCACAATGAAAAATAAGTACATTATTATTATTTTGTGAAACCTTTCATGTAGTTTTTTTTTTCCTGGCAGTAATGGCCTTCCATATAGGTGTGAACCACGGAGTCATTTACCTTCACTGGAGTTTTGTTTGCGCTTTTTCACACGTGGATTTATGCTAACTTTTGGTTTCCTCTCTGAGGGACCTGAACTTCCCACAACACACGAGCTCCTCTCTCCTGTCTCCCTCCTGCCATTGGCGGACACCTGGCGGGGAGTTTCGGCCAACTTCCATGAACCTTTGGACCTTCGTCGTTTGGGTGTGTGTTCCGGACTTTTTGGATGCACCACCCCTGCGGTCACATCCTGCCAGGAGTAATTCAGAATATTTACAACCCCGTGAGGAATACAGCCCTCCTCAGTCCACTTATGTTGTGAAAGAAGACGAGCCAGTTCATTTAATATCTGAGGGGCTGCTCGCTTGTACGCGTCCACCGGGCTGTGGTCCTTCGTATTGAGTGAGGCACCGACAGCAGATGAGGTATCAGGTTTACTGTCCCCACATGTTTCACCTGACAGCCTCTTAGTGAGCTCATCACTTTCTTTGTTGTCATTCTCCCGATAACTACATGATAAAATAGGAGAGTTATCAGACACATGTATCAGAAACAAACTGTAAATACATTACTAGCAACAAGGTACAAATGACCTTTGTGTCTTGTCCTCCGACTGCGCTCCTTCATGTGCCCCATTAAAATGCAAAATGTTGCTCCGTGTGCCTCTAACTCGGTTTCGTCTTCTTGGCTGCAGAGAGGTAAATTAAATAGTTAACGTCTTACACCTTCTTTTAAACTACAGCCAACAAAATGAATCATTAGCCCACCTGGTCAAAGAAATACAAAGGCCCAGTTCTGTATTCTGCCAGCTGACCAGAAGAAGTCATTATTTCCCACAAAAAATTAATCCACAGGAATTTGTTTCAGATTGTCCCCACTCTCAGAAAAACGCAGTATGTGCGCTTACGAAACAAAAATAATATCAACAAAACACGAGTGAAGTGCTTTAAAATCCACCTTTCACTTGTGTGAAATGCACCTGTCTGTCCACTCTGTGCTGGGCTTGTTGCCTGGATACACACTTCTACGCCCGTCTCCAAATACTCGCGTTACGCACCATTAATGATCGACACCTGGCATTACGTCGAAAGGCGAGGCTATCTATGACAATACAGAACAAAACAGTGCTCGCAATAACAGATAAGGTGTCGTGCGTTTTGGCAACGTGCACACTCAGGTGAAGTGTCACACAAGTCTTATTGAGGAGCCGCAGTCACAGGTGCGCACGGCCAGGTAACCTGAAACTCAGCGACTGGATGTTCAGAGAAAATGATGAATCCGGCGTGCAGTGCGGCTCTTACATGTCATGCATCAGGACACGTTGGTCACATAAACTGGCATTTCAGCCTCTGCAGAATGCACGCGGTTCGTGTTGCTCTCCTAGAACCGTTTGTACCTAAATGTAATTTTCCCTGCAGAGAAAAAAAATCTGATGATAAATGAAAGTTTTTATCTCCTCGGAACAGAGGAGGATCGTCTTCCCTCTATTCGGGTCAAGTTGTAGCACAGAGATTGTCTAATAGCTCATTATTGGCTCAGCTGCCTCCAGCACACTTTTCTGCTTTGACCACTGGAGGCTCCCAGCAGCTTATGCGTCACTTCATCTCTCAGTCGCTGATCATGGCGGAGCTACAGCTACAGCACGAAGTGGAGCCTCAACTTCTCAATGGGGACGACTTGAACGAGGAAAGAGAAGATGCAGATGCACCAGAATCAGTAAAGAAAAGGAGAAGAAAGAAGAAGAGGAGCAAGACCACCGCACCAGGTAAGAGGCATCACTTTGCGGTTAGAGAATCGATGAGAAAATAGCGCAAAATCGTCTCCTCTGGTGCCACTCGATATAGAGCAAGAGCATCAAATATGCGGGACAGGAGACTTTTCAACCTGTCAGATGGTATTCCTGTCCAGCTGTCCCAACTCTGTGAGGCTGCCGCTGGAGCTGAGGGCGCTCATCTGGAAACGGGACAATCTCTGAAACACGTAATTTACCATCAAAACAGATTGAAAGAATTCATTTGAAGATATGGGTGGAATAACATTTCATTTTTACTCCAGATTAAATATGTTCTATCCTATAAATCCCCCTAAGCTGCATGAAATTATGTAATAGAAGTATCCACAGTTTTAGTGCAATAAGATGACAACCACTCTTATGCAAAAAAAAAAAAAACATGATGATCATTGCAGCTTTACTGCCTCAAAAGGGGGAAATATAAAATTCCAAAAAAAGCCTCATTTGTTGAACCTGCCCCAAGTCCAGTGTGGTCCACACAGCACTGTCTTTGAAGGGCTAAATGTCATAATGCTGCAAGGTACATATGCCCTTGAGGATATTGACTCCCAAGGTATAGAAAGAATTTATGCACAGACCCTGCCAAGTTGAGATCGTAGTGGATGCACTTTCTTGAAATGACTCTGAACCACAGTAATTTACTCACTCTGTGTGTGTGTGTGTGTGTGTGTGTGTGTGTGTGTGTGTGTGTGTGTGTGCGCGCAC